TTTACACTTCCCTCAAAAAATTCATCAATGGCAACGTGAAAAGGTTTTTCTTCAAATATCTGATGGAAAAAGATTCCCATTCACAACCAGTGCAGTGTATATAGATCAATTAGATACACTCACGTTACCATCACCACCTCCCTTTCTGATTAAATCTTTTCTTAATGAAAAGAAGTTTAATGAGGAGACAGCACTGAGGAAGAAAGGAGAGGTTAAGAATGGAAGCAGGGAGAGAGATGGTGGGTTTGGAAATGACTCATTTCCAGACTCATTAATGGTGTGCATCCGTGTGAGTGTGTGTGAGGCCTGAGGCTGGACACAGGCCCCACTATTGACTCCCACAGGAGGACACTAATGACAAACATCCTGCTTCACGGTGCAGTAGACGCTCCATGCATCACATCTGCTTCTTATTCTCACCCTGCTTACTCGCTCTTTCTCCTGAGAAAAACTCACTTCACTTTCTGTCCCACCATCTCACACATGCACAAACACAAACACACACACACACATACACATCTGCTACACCAAAGACCGAGGACAAGGCAGCTTTGCACATATTTCCCCTGTTCGTTGCTGGAGACACAGCGGTGCATGCCCCTCAACTTCCTGGTTGATAATAAATGAATGGTTCACTGCTCGGTTCTGTGTGTGTTTGTTGTACATAAATTATGCAGTGGGGTGTTTATGTCGTGTAGGAAATAAGAATTACAATGCTTCAGCAAGTCTGTATGTGTGTCAAGATATCCAGACGACAGGGAGACAGAGATACAGAGTTACAGAAATCCGTCTAACTCTTTTCACAGCAATTTCCACTTATATGATTCCTCTGTGGACACAGTGATACTGCAAAAACAGACTACAGATTCTTTAATGTTGGTTTCCTGTACAGCTGCACAATTAATTGAAATCTAATCAAAATCGCAATATGGCTAAGTGCAATATCCAAATTGCAGAAACTGCAGGAGCTGCAATTTTTTTGATAAAGGTAAAATGTGTCACAATATTGTTTGTTTGGTACAAGACCTTACAAAAATCACGTCATCATCATTTTAAAATTTATTTCAGTGAAAATTAAATGCCAAAATGACCATCCCGACTGAAATCACAATCACATATCGCAATATCTGTGAAAAAATATCGCATTATGATTTTTTTGCATATCATGCAGCCAAAGATTTCTTTTGTTATTAAGGAACTTAGGCATTTTCAACTGCTCCTCTTACAGAAGCTATAAGTGCATTCACACATAAAAGGGGATTTAATGTGCCTTTTTTTACTAATCAACAGAAAAAGATCCTTTAAAAAGGACTTTTTATGCTTTTCTGAGTTTTCCTTGTCCTATAGCGTGTTATATAGACTTTTGTACATGTAAATGGTCAGCAGGGGTTGAAGCCAAATCAGCTTTCTGTCCACTGACCACGGTCTGGACCACAAGGCACATATGGATTTGCTGGTTCATATTTATAAACAGGTAAATAAAACTGCAATATATAATGCAACAATAAGAATATCTGCAGAGGCTAATCGATAATAGAGCATATTTAATAGACAAAGCATTATGATCTCTAACATTTATTCAGCTAACACTTCCAGAGAAGGGAGATGCTAGCTTGGACCCTTTAAAGACCACTCCACCTCTATATCTATATTATTATTGTGGATTTCTGGTGTTTAAACTGGGTCGCCTGCAACCTGATCTTTGAGTTAGAGTTAGAGTTAGAGGACTTTATAGTCCCCAAAGGGAAATTTGTCTTGGGCACAATGTTACAATCCATTGCTTCACATGAAATAGGATAATCAATACGATAATCGATACGTTTCGCCTTCGAGTCAGACTAGTGCGGACTAGAGAGACCAATACATGATGAACTGATGAAGCCGCTTGGATAAGAGGCGAAACGTCTTCCACAGACAAATACAAGTCCAGTTGCCTTCGATTCAATTTGAGATTTTGAGAGATAACTATAACCTGGACGAATGAGAACATTCACAGACAGATTGTGGGTATATTATGTATACACCTAAAATGTAACCATTCAGTTCATTTTTCAGTAACTATGAGCACAGAAGTTCGATTAATTGGACTTACCAGCATCCTAAACCAGCAAGATGGCGACTCCAATTTCCGGTTGTGAAACCAGACTGTCTGTTCCTCTTTTATATTCCTTTAGTCCATAAGTGTCCACAGATAAAAATTTTAAAAAATCAAAACTTTTTTTTTAACAAAAGTATTCCAAGCTATAGATATTGTCATGTGAAGTCCATTGCTGACTGTCTAGTGATTATATTCGCTGTACTCTCCACAATTCTGCCATTTCCCTCCTTCCGGATGCTAGCAGTGCGTGTGCTAGTTTTCCTGCTCCAGTCCAGCTTGCGAAGGTGGTCTTCTTGTTCAAAATTGGACACCTGGCTCAAGTTGATAAGGTAAAACCGACACCATTCTTCCTCTTTTTATTCTTATTCTTTGAAGTTTATTTGCGGCAAACGACGAATTAACCGACGCCATCGTAGCAGCTACAACCGTTTGTCCAGAGTTTCACGAGAAAGCACGAGGTGGGCGGATTTGTTGTTGGCGGCAAGCTGACCAATCAGAGCACACTTGACGGACAAATTCGTGGGGGGGGGGGGCTTAAAGAGCCCACAGCTCTAATAAAGCATCTCAGTGGGTGAATACAGTACAGTAAGATGTACAGTATAGTAATTTTAGAATTTATGAATTGAATTACAAATGAAATGGAGGTCATAGACTTTTAGTGAGTCGGTATTTTGGCAGAATCTCAACTATAAAACAAAGTTATACTCCAAGTGTATGAATGATGAAAGTTAGAAAATTAACTTTTTCTAATTAGTAAATAAACCCTACGTTGATGGGTACGTTGCAGGTATTTAAGACAAAGTTCTGGACATGTTAAAATGTCAATCTGTTGATTGCCAATAAACAATATGTTGAGGTGTTTCACTAAAAACAACAAAACATCGACCTCATCATGAGAGGAAAAGACGTCATCAGGATTCATCTTCAGAGAATTGTGAATATTTGGAGCAACTTTTGTAGATGTTTAGACATTTCAAATGCTAAGTGAAAAGTTTTACCTGCTGGGGGTGCTAATGAGAAGTCATGGGATTACCAAAGCTTCAAAGGTTCATCATCTGTCCACCACAGGTATCTGTATCTTTCACTGAAATCCATAGCTGTAGAGACATTGCATTGAAAACCAAAAATGTAGACCTCATGGTGGTGCTCTTTCATTGTAACCCAGCTTGTATTGTAGATGTTGAAATATTTCAGACTAAATCAGTGGTGGACCCACTGACTGACTGACTGACTGACTGCTTGACAGGCAGACATTGCCATCAATAGGGTTAAGGTTAGGGTTAGGATTAGTAGGATTAGTAGTAGCAAGGTCACTCCTAGTATGGAGTGACCTTGCAAGAAGACTACCAAGGTAGCTGACAACTCTGGAGGAGTCCTTAGCTTCAGGGGCCTGAGGATGCGAAAACTCTGATGGTATTTCACCAGTCGCAACTTTATGGCAAAGACAATTCCACTTTAAAAAAAAGAACAACAAATGACATCTCATGAGACTCAGAATCAGACTCCAAAAAAACTGCACAGGAATGGCTTCAAATCAACAATGTTTATGTCCTGGAGAGGCAGAGTCAGTGGCTGGACTGTTCTCTCACAATCCCTATGCAACCTGACACAGCCTGAAAACTGCAGACTACGTAGACAAATAATAATAATGATTTTTAAAAAATGTTCTCTTTGATATTTTAAGGTCTATTTATGTTGATCTACGTCAAAAAAGCCACATTAAATCTACTTTATTAAATCACTGTTTTAAGACGATATAACACAGGAACCTACAGGTGGGGTGAAACCTTATATTAAGCTTCAACAGGAGCTAAATGTCACTTAAATTCACCTTTAAAATGTGAAATTCCGAGTATATCCAGTAGAAAGTGAGTTCAGACTAAGTTAAATAAGTAAAAGGTGCTTGTGAAGTAAAAAGTATAGTGTTTAGTGTTTAGTGACCTTGAAGCTGATTTCCTGCTAGCTGTTAAGTCCTTTCAATCCACAAAGATCTGCTTTCAAAGGTGCTCAACTGAAAATGCCCCGAGTGAAAGAGGAAAAACAATGAAATCCATTCACACACACAAGAAACGCAGACCCTTGCAGACACCTCTGAGCCTATCAGAGCCGTCACCCTGTCGATACATGTACGTCATAAAATCTATGTGTGTATTCCCTCCGGCTGTTGCTTATGCTGGTGTGGTGAGCTGTCACTGCAGTGACTCGTGGAGATGAGAGCCTGCAGGCTGCTGATGCTTGTGCCTGTGTTTGTGTGTGAATGTGAATGTGAATGTGAGTGTGTGAGTGTGTGTGTGTGTGTGTGTGTGTGTGTGTTTGAGATAGAGGCAGGGTTAAGTGACACAGCAGAGAGAGAACACATAAGAGCTTTGTCTAAGAGGAACAAAAAAAACCTGAAACTGCCACCTGGTGTCTCTCCCTTTGTCTTTTTGTTTGTAATCTACAGACTAGAGAAGCGAAAAGCTTCAGTGATAATCCAGTCTCATATGAGCCGTAAATGAAAAAATAACCTGCTTCAGGCTTTTTAATCGCCGCCACAAGTTAAGCCATTGTCAGTTTTAAACATAGGGACATAATTGGGTTAATTGGGACATAGCCTGCTGTGTCTATGTTTGAGAAATGCAGGGTTAGAGACAGGTTTAGCTGAGGATATGTATAAAAAATTGGAGTTATGGTGCATTGGAGGTACTGATGTAGTTATTATCTGCCCTATTCTGCATTATTATGATGATCTAATGTAGGCTAAACATAACATGATAATAATAGACTTGCCCTTTCCCACATTTCATCTCTATAATCTTCCTTATTAGCAGCAACCACCCAGTAACCACTACAACACTGCCCCCCACTGGTGGTTCATTGTAGTGCAACATAAAAAAAGGAGGAAATCAAATCTTTTCTCAGTTGAAAAGCATTCATTTTTTATACAAAGATTCCATCTTAAATTAAGCCTTACAGGGTGACAAATACAAACCGTATGTACAGTGCATTGCTTTCTTCAAGTAAACCTACTACATCATCATCGACTGTGTATGAACAACGTGTCCATTATTATAAAGCTACAACAAATACATTTTCAGTCTCTTTCAAGTGGGTTCCAGGTACATTTCAATATTCAAGGCCGTTTTTGGCAAGAGCAAGTCAAGTTCAGTCCAAACAGCCAAACAGCCAGTCCCTCAGTCAGTCAGTCCCCTGCAGGGTGAGTCATCAACCCAAACCAGAGAGGTGGTCCTCAGTGTGGCGTCAGGAGAAGGGGGGGGGGGGCTCCAGCAGGGAGGGGTCACCACCAAAATGAGCCAAAGTCATAGTTGTACAATAAAATAATAATAATATATTTCATTCTACTGGATATAACCATTCATTTTAATATATATATATGTTTTTATCATTCTGTATAGCTGTGTCATTTTAGTTAATTATATTCATTCATATATAGTTTTAAGCATAGAGCCTTTGATTATTTTAACTTTGTGATTAACTGTGTTGATGTGTGTGTTGACCTGGCTGGTGAGCTGCAGCACACACGTGTCCCTGCAGGGATAAATAAAGTAGTACTGAATTGAACTGAACTATTACATTCACTATGTATTGATTGATGTATAAGTTATAAGTTAGCCCGACATATAACATAAAAAAGACCAGTGTAGTCAGAAATTTCAATCTCACCACTGTTATCTTATCATTTAAAATGAAGACTTTAAAGTCACCAAAAAGGTTCCATAATGGCCAAATGTGGCCAAGACTAAGATCTAAAGATATTTCACCTTGGCCACAAAGTCCTGTTTGAGTTTTTCCAGGAGATCATGTCATGATATTGTTAACTTATTTGGGGGTGGGGGGTGGGGGGGGGGGGGTTATGGCAAACAGAGGATGTATATTTGGGGCTGATTGGCCTGGTCTTCTCTCCAGGTGATGTTCCTCCTCTCTTTTTTGAGTTGACACATCGGAGTTCAGCCTGAATCGTCTCCGCTGTTCTCGGATCCCGCCTTAATGGCCTCCTCCGGTTCCTCCGCCGTGCCGCTGTCCGATTCCTCCTCTATGGCGAAGCGCGTGTCCGCGGAAGAGCACAGGGAACTGATGCTGCTCTGCTCCGTGCACAGCGCGCACGCCAGCGGAGAGGGCAGCGCGCCCTCGTAGCGCAGGTGTCCGAAGTGGTTGCCGTGGTTACCGCAGAATGGCAGGGACACCTCCACCGAGCGCAGTCCGGTGGCGGCGACCGGAAAGGTGACGCTGTGCTTCTTTGGCAGCGCGCCCCACTCCCGCTGCTCCTCCTCGTGCACAAGGCGCGTGAAGATGTTGATCCTCCTCTTCTCCCTCCTCTTGGAGCGGAAGTAGCCGAGCATTATGCCACAGAGGAAGATTCCGTAGAAAGACATGACTATGAGGATGTACAGGTATGCGTTCCCGTCGCTTTTGTCCGCCTGGGGGTTTACGCTGCTCGGTGTGTCCACGAAGATGCGTTTGGGTGAAGCTGTGGAGTTTTCCAGGTGCTCCATTTTTTCTTAAAGGTGCGCTGAAAAGGAAACAGAAGTACATCCATAAATATGAGTTGTTTCTTTTTCACTTTTACGCACGCTTTACGCACAGGGATAGGTTGTACGAGTTATTATAAAGTGATGAAATATCATGAAAACACGTGTATACAGCCACAGCTATGAAAAAAAGACAAATGTTTTCACCCTCTTCATGTGTAACTGATGATGACATTTAATCACAGGCGTCATTTGGAAAAGCAAAACATATAAAGCACGATGCATGATGACAATGATGATGCAAAATAGTATTAATCAGTGCTACCAGAATATTCTGCAAATGACATTTAATGCATTCAGTTAGTGGTTTGTTGCACGTTTTAAAATGCAACTTTAAATGAAATTAAATTTCCATACGTTTACGTAAATAAACAACTTTCTGTTCTTTTACATATATAAGAACACGTTTATTTTATTTTGAAGTTTTATTTTATCTCTTAATTTGGTAGTTCTGTACTTTTTGTTTTAAAGAAAACTCTTCCCTGTTGTTTAGAAAAAGTGACTAAAATGAACTAGTTTAGATAAACCGGTGGTAACAGTAAACAATAGTGACAGTGTGGTGATTTCTTAACTTACCAAACTGCGGGGCTGAGTCTCATGTGAATCTTTCCAGCTTGAGTCTTCTTGCAGCTCTTGTGGAGTTTGGCCGCACCGCTTCATGGATGAAGTTATTTATACAGAGACCCCTGGATGCTCATCATGAGTCACGTGACGGGGACTGATTGTAAGATGAATCCTGTGGCTATGGAAGCCCTAAAGGGACGTTATGTTAAAAAAAAGAAAAACTAATAAAGAAACAAAAACTACTAGTATTTTGAAACCTGTTGGGGGTCGTTATAAAAGCATCAAATACCCATGAGTATATTAGACTTACTGACTTTGTGAAGAATTATTACATCATCTCAAGAGTCCAGCAGATAATCCTGAGGGGATGTGATGGAAAAATACATTTTAGAAGAAACTAGTGATGAAGAGAGAGTCACTCAGTAATACTGTCAAAATGTGCTAGGATGCATGTGCATATCGACATCTACTCCTTATTTTCCATCAAGCCTCTGCACTGTCCTTGTGCACAAACAATAAATATATCTGCTCTCCTCATCTCATCGCATAGGATTTTTCAATTCCTTTGCAAATGAACCTGAAGTTCATGAATAAAATCATGCAAAAATATTCATGAAAGGTGTGGTGGCAATGACAGACTGCAGTCAAAAACAAATGATTTCTTTCAGTGAACTCACCACTGCACATACCACCAGAGTATGAATGATGCAGAGAGACACACCATGATTCCATGAGGGAAACTTCATCTTCATCTAAGGGTTTTCCAGAAAAGTATTCTGTTTTTTATAGTTTGCTGTTGAGTTTTCACCCCATGGGAAGGTCGAGTGAAGCTGGCGAGCGGACCTATTCAAAAGCCCCAAAATTTCCCCCATGCCAAAGCTCTGGCCTTGAGCCACTGTATTTTCATGGTTTTAGGACAGTAACCCTTTAATTTCTGAAGCAAACGTGATAGAAAATTAGGCTAAAATTAGAATTAGAAGAGAAAAATTACAAAATTTGAAGTAGAAGAGAAAAAAATGATTAAATGAAAGTGATTTAAAATAACATTTAAAATACTGATATGTTTGCCCACCTAATCGCTGAGTGCGTCTGTCTCTTGTTTGGTGTGTTGGTGGTGAGTTCTCAGTTACTTTCCCACCACAGCAGAAGTCTGTGTTAAAGCTAGGATTTCTGAAACAACACAGGTTTAGTATCAAGAACAAGCCTCGTAAAGAAATCCTGCAGCTAATTACAAATACAACACAAACTGTGTGATGCCTGTTTCCTTAGTACTGCAAAAAACAAAGCTATTAATGAAGCAAAAGCTTGGTTTACGTTAGTTTACGTTAGCATTTGATTCATGTTCGTGTTTGTGTTTGTGCAGTGACATGGTCGGCACGTTCTCTTCCTTATAAAAATTATGATTTTCCAAATGACTGATTTAATTCAATAGTCTGAGCGAACTGCACCCTGCTCACCAGACGCAGCCGAGGAGAGGTCTGACAGCACTGAGAATTCACACCTCCACACTAATGACTGGTGAGCATCAGTGGTTTAATTGGATTAGGTTCCAATCAGTCATTACCATTATTGAATCAGTGCAGGCTGATTTCACTCTTTAACTGGTGAGCAGACGTAAATAAATGTCATCATCCATCAGTTAATTAATATGAGGCAGAAATATTAAACAATAAAGTACTGCTGCACGTAGACCAAACACAATCTTTATTTACTTCATTTGAGTATTTTCCAAAGGCAAAATTACAAATAAATAATTGGACGCACTTATGTTACAAGGCAGGCTCTCGATGCAGAGAGGGAGTGGAGCTCCTAAGCTGGACTACGATGATAAAGTTTGAGTTAAACGTCAAGAAGCTAGACATGAGCTTCCTCTGCTGATCACAGCTCCACGTGCAGAGTGTATGTACACCTCGGGAGGAAATAAAAATCAGAATTACGCCGACGCAGTATCACAAGAGAAGGCAAGAGGTGCTGCGCTGCGAGGGGAGGCTGGGCCGTGCTTGTGCCGTGAATGGACATAATGAGTCACACACTCTGTCACACTCTTGCAGACAACAAAGAAAAATTTAACATGGCTTTAAACTGCTAACTGCTAACTGCAAAAATAAATGTTAGCCACACACACACACATACACAGACACACACAAACACACACACACACACACACACACACAGAAGTTGCACTTATAAAAAAAATTGCTATTTTTTCCAACTGGTGCACCCACGCACACAGAGAGGGTTTTATTTTACTCCTGTCTGTAATCAACCGCCTTACTTGGACTGAAATGATACATTTTCATATTGCACTATGATTCATCAAACATGACAATGATTACAACAGTAATTTCATCTGTAATACAAGCGAGTAAATGTGCATTCTTGTGCGCACTGCGGTCTGTACAGCACGTAGAAAAGTATACTCTATCTTTGTAGGAAAATTCAATAGACTAAACAACAGTGCATCTTTGTTTCTTTTCTTTTCACATACGCCTATTAGGAGCAACAGCTTTATTGTTTATAATGAAAAAATAAAAAATTATTAGACCAGATATGGCCTTAGTATTTTTTTTTTAACCAACCTGCTCTCATTTGCCCTCAAATGACTTTGTGCTTTTGGTATCAAGATGTGCTGATGGGGGCGACGTCCCGCGAGCGTGGGCGTCAAAGTCTGACTGTGGGTGGCAGAAAAAATAAACCGTTGACAGAACTCAAAACATATTAAGAAAAAAAAAGAAAAAAAGAAACAAAAGAGTTAACCGTCTCCTGACCTGCAGGAGTGTTTAGTGTTGGGACTAGGAGGAGGAACGTGAAAGAGTGAAACCCAAAGAATGAAAATAAACTACAGGAAAGATTTTTGAGACCAACACAACCACTCGAGTGTCTCGTGGCTGAGCACAAAGAAACAAGGCAACAAACCCGTCCGACCGACCTGAGCTTCTGCTGTGGCGCTCGAGAGTTCAACAGACGACAGCAGCTAGCACACACATCTGTTTCATAACTCACATCTGGAACAATAAGATCTCCACAGAGAGGTCACACACCTGGGCGAAAAAGAAAAAGGGGGAAATGCAGCAGTGGACAGGGATATGTATGATGTATGATTTTTTTCCAGCTTGACTTAAGTTACAAATTCAAGCAAAAGCAAAAAGGCTTCCACAGTGGAATAGGTTCAAATGTGCACAGTAAAGGGGAAAATTGCAGCATCTTTCTTACAAACATTAATATTTCACCACAGATTTATGTCACTGTGGCTTTTTATTTTTTTACTGACGGAGTAGAAAACTGACGGGAGGGGTGAGAGGGGCACTGGGAGTGTTTCTGAGTCAAGTGTTGGTCTGTGCTTTGAGAATGAACAAAGACGCGCTGGTCCTCGCCGTTATTTTCCACCGTACATTCTCTCAATGTCATCCTGGTAATGTGTTTTCAGCTCCTTGCGCTTGAGCTTGAATGCATCAGTCACTAATCCTGTCTCAGGGGTCCAGGGGTCTGGGCTCAGACGGATCTTGCGAGGAATCTCAAAGCGCTCTAGCTGAGCTGCAACAGACGGGAAATGAGAGAGGGTTGTGAAAAACCTCAAGGTGTTTCTTTCCAACACGTCACTGACCGGTTTCTTTGAGCCCTTCTTACCTGCCAGTGCAGCCTCAGTGATCACCTTGAGGGCCAGCTCCTCAATGGCCTTGCTGTTGCACAGCTCCTCCCATGAGCCTCGGATGCTGTACTGGTCCGCCAGAGTCAGCAGCTGCTTCTGATTGGGCACCACAAAGCCAATCACGTATGTCTCATCGCTGCAGAGCGGGAAGGGGAGAGGAGGCGGGAGGTCAGAGTGAAAGAAAAAGTAGCTATAAAGGCACACTGCTCTCTAGCAAGTGAAAGTTCGGCCCAATAAGGGGATGGAGCACAAACACGAGCAACCGTCAATACTTCGCCAAGGGAGATATTTACCCTTAAAAGGAAATGTAGATTGCCTGAACAGAGTGTGAACAGATCGCAACCTCCAACAGTATGTGTTGCACTGTGACACAGAACCATATATATTAAGTTAAGTAAGGTTTCTGGCACAACTTCACCCACAGAAGGACTTTATTTAATGGAGGTGTTGCTGGAGTTTCAACCTCTTTCCTTATATATATATATCGAGTTGCCACATAAATGGTTTCAGTTTTATTTTACTGTTTCCAACATGGAGCCTCTGTACCTCATAAGACGTCTGTCAACTGTAGCAGCCTGCTGACAACAGAAAACATCTCAAGGCTGCTTCACTGCGTCTGCAGTATATTCTCTTTAGCTGACACTTCACTAGAAGCACTGCAGCTATGTCATAGTTATTGTCAAGCAGCAGCTCTGACACTAAGCTTTTCCCTGAGACTGTCACTGTAAATGGCCACAGGCTATTGATAGATCCAGGTCAGTTGATGAGAGCGACAAGACTGAACAATGAGGTAAATTTGCAAAACAAAACAATTTGCTAAAAGAGGCTAAACAGCTACATCTACTTCAGTGGGTTTTTGTTCTTTCAGCCAAGCGAAGACATGAACCAGCCTGAGCGGCATATTAGTTAAAATGTCCAACAGTTAATTCCAGCTGGATTTCATCATGTGGACAGTGACATATGCGCTGGTTCAGTGAAATACACACACCTGTTGGCGTAGGCGCAGATGTTGTCGACCAGTGAGCAGTTCTTTAACATGGCCTCCACCTTTCCCAGGGAAACGTACTCTCCCGCCTGCAGCTTCACCAAGTCTTTTTTACGATCTGGAAACACAACAGAGACAGCTGCTTGTAACAACATGCGTGCGTCCATCTATGAGTGTAGATATGTGTGTGTGTGTGTGTATATATATCTTTTTTAAAAAAAAAAAGGGGAGGAAGTTGGGGGAAGGACCCATTTGTCACTGAACTGCGTATATCTGACCAGTGCCATCTAGATAATACAGAAAAGTTCTGGCTGACTGAAGTAAACAGGACTGCGTAGTTGTTTCCAGAAATGAGGTAAAATCTGATTTGTGAGACGGTTTCCTGCCAAAGTGATGGATGGAAGCGGAGCAGAGAAGTCGGCTGGATGGAATCCAGGAATGTGGGGCACACTGACGATAATTTGTACTTGTTTGATGTTGATGATGATTACCTGCACCCACCAAAATCATGTATTTATAGTCTAATACACACCCACTTATTTTATTTCTCCATCCAACTTTCCTCACCAATTATCTTTAGGCACCCATCTTCATGAAACTCTCCGATGTCTCCCGTGCAGAACCACCTCTGGCCGTTCTCATCCACAAAGAAGTCTTCTTGGTTTTTAGCCTCGATCTTGTAGTATCCCATGGTTACGTTCGGTCCACCAACCAGAATCTCTCCTCGAGGGTGTGGCTTGTCTGTGCTACGGTAACCGCCTGAAAGCAGGGTTTTAACATCAGCGGATGCAAATGAAAAAGTGCAATTAAACAAACATTCAATTCTCCTGATTCTGCAGCATATTTTTTTTGCAGATAAAAACCTGACAGCATGTTTACTCTAACTTCTATTTCTGCTCTGCGAGTCAAGCAGGCAATAAAATCAACTTGATAAGTATCGAGATTTAACAGAGTGTAATAAAAATGAGTTATAATGCCTTACGTAAAAAAAAAATAGAAGTTGTACAGGAGTGGAGAGAGAAAAGTGGTGTGCTTTCCTTACAAGGTTATGAACCAGCTACAGTGATCTCTGACAGTCTGTCTGGCCTGGAGAATGTGAAAACGAGTAAACTCAGGAAAGTGTTTATGTGCGTGCATGAGACATGGCTGCACTTATACAGCGCTTTACAATACGTGCGAAATTCATATATCAAACCCATATACATTCATAATTATGTGGGGTTCAGTGTTTTCCCCCAGGACACTTCGACTGGAAGAGCCGGGAATCGAACCACCGATCTTCTGATTAGCTGACGCTCTACTTCCTGAGTCGCAGACGCCCCAGAGTGAGATGACTCACAAGAGAGAAAAGCAACAAGGACTGATGCATGTCCCTGTGAATCCATTTGACATTGTGTATTTCATCATGAAGTGTGTGTTTGTGTGTGTGTGTGTGTGTGTGTGTGTCTGTGTGCGTCTCACTCACCCTCCACCCAGTCTTTGAGCTTTATCTCACTGCAAACCAGCGGCCCTCCCACTCTCCCAGTGCTGTAATCCCACACTGGAACAGACAACACACACACACACACACACACACACACACACACGATCAGGAAGCACACCAGCATCAAGGCATGACATTTATTACCATAGCAACGTGACCTCACTTGTTCCCTCGCCATGGAAACCCCATCCCAAAGGAATATCCACAAAACAGCATTTTCCTGGCTGAAATGACCGCAGCGGAGAGCCGGGCAGTGGGCCACTCTGTTGGTTTCTGTCTGCCTGGGAAAGGCTTCCATTATTTGACAAATGTTTTGGCAACGAAAAGCCGACAGATCAGCTGCACAGTTCAAAACAGATGACTGGGACGGAGATATGTACATCACTCCTTTATGCGCATTTTTTGAAGAGATGCAGAAATGATTTCCCTGTTTATGAGAAGCTGTACTGTCTGCATTTGTGTTTATTTTACATATCGACACCAGCGCAAAAATTTCAAATCCCTTAATGTGGAAGTTTCACAACAGGCTAAAAACTCGATGCTAACTGGGTACTCAGAGTACAATGACTTGTTGCTTGCTGTGTTGATTTTTCCACACCACTGCATCCTCTTTTTCAAAACAGATAACCGACTCCCTTCTCTGTTTACTACAACCCACGCACAATATTTCTCCTCATTATTTCCCTCCCATCCATTTTCCCATCCCTGCTATAAAACACCCCCCCTCTCTTCATGTCCTCCCACTGGTTTTATCTCTACTCACAGGTTGTGGAAACTCCGTCGCTTTCTTACAGGTTCTAGAAACTTCCCACAGCTACTCAATATTATGCAACTTTTCCAGTTTATTTGGATAAATGTACTATTTTAATTTAACATTGAGTCATTGCCAATAAACATGGCTAAGTGGCAGCTATGTGGCATTGGCAAAGCAGTGCTAAAACTAAATGCTAATATCAGCCTGCTAACGTATTCATGTTTAGCAGATATAATGTTTATTATGGTCATTCCATCTTTGGTTAGCGTGTTAGCATGCTAACACTTTCTAATTTGCACTAAACACAAACAGCAGCTGAAGCTGATGGGAGAGTCAAAGTCCAAAGCTGTTACAGTTTATCCTGAGGGGGACATGGATGCTTGTAACAAATTTCACAAGCATCTGTCCAATAGTTGTAGAGACATTTTACTAAAAGTCACAAAAGTGAACCTCATGGTTGAGCTCAAGGAAAACTCAGAGAATCCCCTGGTTTGGATTCATCCTCTGGGAACCATGAATGTCTGTTTGTACAACATTTTAGTGGTTGCTGAGATGTTTCAATCTGGAGCAAAGTGGTGGACCGACTGACCAACATTGAACCATGTTAACCTCCTAGTTTTATTGCCTTTAACCAGAGAAAATCAAGTCATTATGTTCTCTAAAAAATAAATGTGCAAAATCAGTGACATCACCTTGTAGTCCAGTAAGTTTCAACATCCTGTTGCAAGACCTGTTGCAGTTACGCTTACGTACATTTAATCTGCTGATAATGTACTGATAATATGCAGTCACTTTAGCTGCAGTGTCAGATTTGAGGGTCATTATTTTGTTGGGTGTTTCTACATGTTTATGTGTGCTACTGTCCGACTGTGATTCCTGCTTACGCTCGCTGATGGTTCCCGCTCCGCACGTCTCCGTCAGGCCATATCCCTGACCCACCGGGCAGCAGAAACACACATTCATGAAGCGCTGTGTGGCTGCGGAGAGCGGCGCTCCTCCCGACAACAAGACTCGCGTCCGACCTCCCAGCAGAGAGCGAACTTTCCTGAACACCAGCCTGTATGGATGGATGGATAGATGGATGGATGGAGGGAGGATATTGTTTTTTTTTTTTTTAGGAAATTCTATAACTTTCAAAAACTCTCTCTTATAAAAGTGCACCTGACTCAACTGTCTACATACTTGTCACATAGAGGTGTGCTGTATCCTTTGGTGAACTGCTCCAGCTTGTAGTTGTAAGCCAGAGTGAAGAGTGCTCGCTGGACGCAGTTCATCTCCTCGACTTTGGTCATCACGTTTTTATAGATGCGATCCATGATCTCCTGGAGTCGGGGGGGGGGGCAGAGAGAGAGAGAGAGAGACAGGTGATGAGGTATGTACTGAGACTAGAGGAATAAATAAGAGAAAACTGTAAAAACAGCAGAGAGAATAGTTGTACACTGATGCAGAGGAAGCCAAAATGTAGGAGATAAGATAAAGAAATGCAGAGAAAGTGATAATCAGACACTGGCTGGTCTGTAAGTCATGGTTTGTATCTGCCAAGTGAAAAGTTTGAGAGATATGAAGCCTTGCCATTACAGCTCCTAATATGAGACCCAGTCAGAGCTCTGCTCTCTCAGTCTGAACCAAAGATATTTGGTTCTTTTATATTTAGGGCTTGTTTGTTGTTACAATATTTTTTATGGGGATGGTAAAAAATTTGAAAGGGAAACTACAGGAAACTAAAATTAAGTCTGTAGTCCCAGCTCTGGAGGTATTTACTACGCTCCCATCTCCCTCCACATAACGATTTTTTAATTCAATGTCATATATGCCTGTTATATATATATACGTATGTAATACGAGTAACTCTTTTTTACAAAATGTCAAATATAAGTGGGCCACAGCTCATAAAAAACAGAACATTAACAGGACAGCTGTCTCTTGATTCAACAAGTCCAACAAGACCATACAACCAGTCCAGTACAATGTGGAACACATATGTGTTCCTAAATTTGGTTGCATAACAGCATGTCTCCCCCAATGGATTACTCTCAATGAGTGACCTACAAAACCAGAGGGAAACAAATGGAATCCGCAAGAGTTAAAACAACAACTGAAAAACAGAGCTGAAGTCAACTTCCTCAACCTGTAGGAGTAAATACAACAGTGTTGGGAAAAGGACAATCGACGGCAAAACATAATACAAGAGTAAGCAAGTGGCAAAATGCTGCCAACAGTAACATTAGCATTCGTTAAAGGTCAACATACACTCTTGTTTAAGCTCTGTTGTTCACATTAAAAGAAAGATCTGACTCTTTTGCAGCTGGACGCTTGAACTTTTTACTTTTCTTTTTTTTTTTTTTGCTGGAAATTGCTGGTGAATGTGAGAAACAGTGACCTCAAAGAGGCCAAAAGGTTCTGTAAAGTTCTGTCATTATATATACATTAGTTATGTAGGTTTATTTATCTGTTTATTTGGCTCATTTTTCTTTGTCAGGGACAAACCGAGGTCCCTGAAATGGGGTGGCTTGGTCCTGGGAGCAGGAACATATTCCTGGTATAATTGGTATTATTTGGTTCCCTGGCTACATCCCAGTTGGACTTCACTTGGTTCCTTGAGTTTCCTTCTGTCAAAGGGAGAGCAGTGAAGACGAAGGACCCCACATATTGAGAACTCTTCATCATCCAAATCAGCATCAGTGTCTTCAAACGTTGGACTCATGGTTAAATAGGGAAAAGGGCACAAAGAACCGAAAAACAATAAAAACCAGCTGGTCCCTGTGGGTGTGTATATATGCGCGTGCGTGTATGCGTGTGTGTGTGTGTGTGTGTGTGTGTGTGTGTGTGAAGCTAATGCAGTGAGAGAGGAAGTGGCCACAGGATTCATGCGGCAGCCAGTTGTCATATCACAGCAAACAATTTGTATGCGTGTTAGTGTGCATGTGTGCGTGTGTGTGTGCGTGTCGTGGGGATAACCACATGGGGCTTTCTCACGTTCTGTTTACAGCTGTGAATGGTTCCAGACACTGGGGCCCTCTGACCTTTACACTATGACCACTGGGAGACAGGGGGGTGGGGGGGGCTCTGCTCATTGTGTGAGAGAAAGAGAGAATACAGCAGCAAAGGCGTATTGTCTCGAACTAGCCCACGTACAGCTAACATGAGTAATGGTGTTATAATGTCTTACTGTCAAGGGTTTAGTCATTTCAAAGTTTTCTGTGACATCTATCTGAATCAAAGGTAGCGGCAGCATCATCACAGCAGAATCAGGATTTCACGGTTTTTACGAGCCGAAACTTTGAGCTAATAAAGGAAAAGACTGTAACTTTACCCAAACTTAAACTGACGTGACATAAAGTGTAGAAAACATTGTGAATGATCGTAGCCAGCTAGCTAAATGGGGCTAACTGGCTAGCTACAGTAAATCACAATAAAAGTATAACCAGAACCTTAAAGTTGATATGGTTAACTGTTGTTTTTTAAAGTTATAAGATGTAACTTTTCCGCATTAAAATGTCTAAATGTCTTTAATCCAGTTTTAAGACACATTCAAAGATACATTCTGGTCGTTTTCAAGTATGTATTTCAACCAGATGAAGGATTTTAGTCATCGGATGTCTAGATCTCGAGTTATCAGAGAAAAAAAGCCAGGCAAATGTTAGACAGCTCACCTCCCTATCCCTCCCTGAAGTCCTGTGTCTGCTGAACAATGTCGGTGACTCACTGATTTTTAACGTGTAACTGCTTGATTACTAATCCCCTGCTCCGTCAGTGATGGACAAAGGGACAACTCTGAGGATAATTCGGCTGTAGTTAAAAACCTCATGAACGTCTGGATCATAAGATATCAAAGAAACATTTGACACAAAGGTTAGCGGCAGTCTCAGCTCCCGTGTCTGCCGCAAAGTGTCTGATTTTTTAACGTGAAACTGCTTTATTCAGTGTTTTTACCAGTTATAATCACCTGTTTGTTTTTGGAGAGGAGGAGACCTCTGTGGATAATTCATCTCCCTGTAAAAACCTCCTGAACGACCGACCAAGCTGACGGCAACGGTGCTGAAGACAACTAACTAGTTGCTAACTTTGCTTGTCTGCTGTTTGGTTTTGGGCAGGTAGTGTACAGCGGCTTTTTACAGCTTTGTTTCCCCCCACTGAAAGCAGTTGCTTGCTGCTGGAAATGATCAGAGTATTAAGACTGTAAATCTAAAAACAATGAGCTGTAAGTTGCTAAAATGCAAGTTGTCACTACAAGAAGTCTTTCACACAAACATAGTCATTTTACGGATTATTCATATGAAAATACTAATTATAGTCATTTGAATCCTCATATTTTTGAGTGCAACGATCAAAAGTTCACTCTTCAGCTCACACTGCGTGCCCTACTTTCCGTTTCCTCAAACTGTAAACTCCCTCTAACACTAATAAAGCATTTAAGCAGGGTGGAACTCCCGCTCAGCTCTTTCATTGACAAAATAAATACTGCCATGCTAGGTTTAAGCCCATTCTAGCGTCATCGCTGCTGAGATGGATTAATCCGTAAAATACACCTCAAAGGCGAGCAGGAGCAGCAAACCTCAAATATGCCATTTTAATTCCAGGGTGTCAAATAAAGAGCACCATTGGACAGAGACAGTCGATCCATCGGAGACACATCCAGCAGATCCAGGCCTGCTGGACTCTGCCAGGGCTCCTCCACAGTTGGACTATGGACAAAGACAGTGTGAACTCTGTCCCGCTTCCAAACGGCATTGTTTGAACACAAGACTTAAGAAAGAGTGACTCAATGGGAGACGCTGTAAATGTTAAAACTTCTCGGACATCAGATAGTCATGTGCTGAGTGTACTATTGTGACATACCGGAACAGCTGCCATCAGGGTGGGCTGCAGGACGCTGGTGTCTCCCTTGCTTCCTTTCTTGATCTTGGTTGACTGTTGGTGGGAAAAAAAAAGAAGCGAGATCACAAGAACGATTACACACGTCACATTTTTTAGCTTCTTGAAAAACTTGAAATCTGCTTCCCACTGGTTCTTGCTCAACATCACATCACATTCAATAAAAGCAATGCATTCATTTATGATTTAATACAGTGATTTAATTTGCTGGTGTTCACCACTAAAGACAGACAGAAGTTTCATAGTGTGGCGGATCTGGCACGGTACAGTGCAACAGTGCCTGATGTTAAGATTAGGTTTACAATTCACCAAACAGTATTAAACATTAATGGAGGCAGCATATTAAATGCTCTCTATGTATCACGTTACCCACAGTATTTTACTATGCAACCAGCGCTCACGCTTTGTAGTTCCTCTACAGGACTCCTTATTCATTCATAAAACACAACACGCCTCTCATACGCATCAGCATTAAAGGAATAGTTTGACATTTTTTGGAAATACGCTTGTTTGCTTTCTTGCCGAGAGTTACACGATGAGATGTAGCGAGAGCGAGCAGCTGATGGAGGCAGGGGTAACACTTGTCATTGCAATCAACAAATACTGATGGACTCTTTGTGCTTCATATCTTATTTATGATGTGCATTGGTTGTGTTGACTACCGTGGACAAGACTTTCTAATCTAATCTAATCTAAAGAAATTTAGCCTGACTCCTGCCTGATCTCTACAACTCAGAATTTAACCTGTTGTTTCACAGGGATTTATGTGATATATGGCAACCACTACTGGCCAAGAAATAGTCCAACACATAGAGCCCCGTAAAAAAAGGCAATGAGACGCTATTTACTAACTTTAGAGGTACTGGTAGGCGGATTTTGTAACTTTTCGGCAGAGCCAGGCTAGATGTTTCCCCTTGTTTTCAGGCTTTTAAGCTAAGATAAGATAATCTAAGATAACTGGTAGCTAGCTTTAGCTACATATTTAGTGTCCAGACATGAGCGGGAATAAGTCTACTTTTAAGTGCAATGTGTGACATGACATGAGCAGTGCCATTTTAGTGTTACTTTACCTGGTCAGCAAGAGTCTGAGGTGAAGAGTAGCCGATCCTACAGCCGTGGGAAATACATACGAGCTCTGCACTGAGCTCCAGCACATGAGCGAGAGGCAGGTAGCCGATGTAGGTGTCCTCCTCACTGCAAACACAAAGACGCTCTTAAAAACAGCTGTGAAAGGAACCTAGTTAATCAACTAGTTAAGTTGATCAAGCTGAATAAATACAAATCATATATATATATATATATATACACACACAATCTGCTGTATAATCAGTTTTAATGCAAACTATCACGATCATAAATCATACGATAGAAATCCCAAGGAGATAAATGCTAATCATCAGAAAGGCTGTGCGATCATTAGAAGAGGCATACGTGATGAGGAGGTTTACACAGTTGTTAGAAGTCTGATTGTGTTGGTAACATCCACGACACCTCTGACCTCCATCCTCGTCACCCTGCCTCCCTTCCTTGAAGTTTTTTTTTTTTTTTTTTCTTCTCTCTGCTCAGCTAACTCCCTCTCTTCTGCATTTCCTCTCACCCCTGTCTCATCCCCCAGGGTGAGGGCCCTGTTTTTGTTTCAATGTGAATACTTCAGTTGTATGATGGCGCTAGCTGGCTGACTAATACTTCTGCACGTGCTCAGCTGACCGACCCACCCCCACGACAAAAGCAAAAAAAAAAAAACCTTTGGCATTTTTTTTTTTTTTACAGTCCTGTCACACAATCTTAAAGCCAACAGAATTAAACCAGTGACGGTGGAGATTAGTGAAGGGGGAGAGTTGGAAACAGCAGATAAGAGGAAATTAATGTCCTCACTGTGCTGATATAATGCAATTTAAACAGCTTGTCTCTTCTTGAGATACACCGAGGAGACTCTCTCAGGCATAAATGGATTTAGGTGCATACGGCTCCCTGCTCTGCTTTTTTGAGAAATAAACGTCAGTGGTGTTTAATTATGAGTCCTAGAAACGTCACTACCTCCTAACCATTGGTTGGCAGGTTAGTTTAGGTGAGTAGTAATCGCTGTCTTGCCGAGAGCTGAATAAAAAGATACCTCTGTTATGTCTGTATGCTCAAGGCACAGCTGGTTAGCTTAGCTTTAGCCTTGCTTAAAGAGTGGTGAACCTGGTGGTCCGCAAGTAGGTTTATAAAAAATATGTTTTAAATTTAGTGTTTATCAAACTGTCTGAGTGACAACATATCCCAGTGGTGAGCGTTGTTTATGTGTTGTTTTCAATATCAAATCAACTCGTACGTAAACTGAAACATTATTATTTGAACTGGTTGTTTTGCGACACTGCTCACTCACGTAGCTGCGCCAGTTTACAGTTTATGTCTTTCAATGAAAAACGATCAGTGTGACATATGAAAGCAAATGTGGATGAAGCTAACAGTTAGCCTGCCCTGGGATTGTGCTAAATTTCACCAGTTATCAGCAGCCTATTAACTCTCAAACACAGACAGCTGACAATGTCATGGACCAGCAGCTTAAGACCGAGTCAATTAAAAGAAAATCAAATGAAACTTCCGACACAGTGGACAACATTCCCCAGAAGCTCACTAATCAACACGTTATATGTCATTAGTTTAATCAGGAGAAAAACCAGAGTGTAAATTGGCCAATTTATGATTTAAAAATTAAAAAAAATATGATTTAAATCAGGAACAGTCAGATCAAAGAATAAGTAAACTACATTTCAAACACGAGACATTGTTGGAAGAGAGAAAAGAGTACTCAGATGATCCTCACACACATGACACATTTCCCAGTGTGTAACATACAGTATGGTTTGGCCGTTTACACGTGAGGTTGTGGTGCCTACCACAGATTAGGTATCCGCTCAGCCATCCCTGTGATGCCGGCGATGATGTTGCTATGGGAGATCATGACGCCCTTTGGTATGCCTGTGGATCCGCTGGTGTACATGATGACTGCAATGTCTGAAGGCAGCGGCTGCTTACGCTCACGTGCGGCTGTAACATGGGAACAGAGGAAACGCGCATTAAAACGTGGACAAACACACACACATGTGAGCTGAACATCACAGAAACTGCAATTACAGTGATGGCTTTCAACATGACTGTGATTTGTGTATGTTGTATTTATATACTGGCTGACCACACATGCACACACACAAGAACCGCAGCCATGCCTGAACATGCATCCATGTTTACACACTGACCCCACGGACTCATTCTGGGAATAAAAGTAATAGCCCCCGTCACATTTGTTCCATGCGAGCAGGATGAACGTGCCCAATGCTTTGGGTGTCAGAGGCCGAGGAAATATCTTAAAGTGTCTGTAATTCAATAGAAGTTTTGTAGAAGTTCAAACACACGGATGGAAAATCAGTCAGCTGTGATATTAAACAATCAGGCCCCTTTTGGCACAATGAAGAGTTTGTGTCTGACTGTGCGAGCCAAAAACACCCACCTCCATCTTTCTCTCACTCTCTCAAATCTCTTCTTTCTTTTTCTTTATCTTTTGCTCTTCTCAGTCGTTCCTCTTTAATCTTGTTCTTTACTTTCTCTTATCAGGACTTCACCTCTATATTTGGCAGCACTGTTATCTTCTGTTAATCCAGCCCTGGCCGTAATTTCAGTGTGTGTGTGTGTGTGTTCCCAGTCACCTTGTAGGCATAAATCTTCTATAAAAACAAATGCAGCCCTCTCATTTATTTGAATGGAGACAGTGTTGACGTGTCTAAACTTTTAGCTTTTACCGATTGTTAGCATTAGGCTAGGCTGCACTGGCTAATCACATGCATGCAAGTGCACATTCCTTGTCGACTACTTTGTAGCATGAATGCAGTATAGTATTTATAGTGTTTACCACATGATCATTGTGTGAAAAGATGAAATAATTTCCGCTGTGCTAACTTTCCAGAGTTGTAAAGTCTGCGAGTAATATAAACTGTGCAGTGTGAAGTGTTGTGGTATTCTTCAAATGCATAAATATGCGAGTTTCCTGGGTTGTATTTTACTGGCACGTGCCTCACCGATGCCTCAACACGGGGCTGTTTTTCATCTGCATCCCTGCTTATTCTAAAAATGGAGCCTGAAATGAAGCGGAGATTGAGAGAGAGTGAGAGAAGTTACTCGCCTCCACTCACCTGGCATCAAAGTGGGTGTGAATGTCAGATTGTCAATGTGAGAGGGTTACAAAGGAAGCTGATTGGTGAGTCACGGCTTAACCTAGCATCCCTGTATACGACTTGCCCCCCTTTGAACAGTGAATTTCAGTTTCTTCCTTCTGGACGAAGGCTCACAGTCCCAAAGTGCAGAACAAAATGGCTTTATTCCAGCAGCCATCACTCACATGAATAAGTTGTACTACCACTGCATAGAAGCAATGTTTAATTTATTTATTTTTATTTCCCTTGTGCACATGGTGTTGTCCAAGCTGTGTGTTAAATATGTATGTGTAAGATTGACGGCTCTTTTTTCTGCAAACCAAATTTACCAACAGGTACAAATAAAGTAACCTAACCTGTTCAACTGGATTGGCTCCATTCAAATTCGTTTTTTCACACAGACCTAAAATCGGCCTTAACACGGCCTAAGGGAAAGCACTAAGATGGCTTCCTTTTTCCCATGATTCCTGTAGCTTTCGAGGCTTACAATCAAGACCTATAATCAAGACCGAGAAAGGCTGTGGCGCATGTGTCTCGAAATCAAAGAATGCATAACTAGGAGAGAGTTGAAAAGATACAAGAACAGCGAGCGCAGAATGATGAGTGCCCTGCCCTCTGATCCAGGACTCCTACAGTCTGAATAAATAAGTAACGTCCAAATCCGTTTAAAGGATGGAAACAAAACCAGTTGGTGGTTTGGTCTAGCTGCAGTGAAGTCTTCATGAGAGACTTGTCTTGTTTTTCCACTCTGTTTAGCATCATGTGGAGCAAAAGCAGAACTCAGACGTGTGAGCACAGCGGGCCCCGAAAAGCCAAACAGAGGATGAAGGCTAGCCATGATGAAGAGGAAGGGAGTCTAACCCACATTGGAGTCTCTTCTTTTTCTTTCTTTTTCCACTCACTCGGATGCGAGGCGTGTAGGAGTGTGTTCTCTGAGAGCTGATGTCATGCGAAGTTAACAGTATTATGTGTAAACATGATCCTCCCCGATATCCCAGTGCTCCGTCCTCCCATCCTAAACCTACTTCCTTCCCACTTTATCTGCACATGACACTGCCAACTTCTCTTGTTTTGGGTCATTCAGTTCAAGGGGCCACAATGAAAAGGCGAGAGGGGGTAGAGTGGATCCATCCAATGCACTAACTGAATAAGCGTCGTATCAACCTTTAATCTAACACAGATGTGAGCACTTCCTCATTCACATGACCTAATGGCACTGATACCAATCTGCCCCCACCCTACCCCTGACCCCAAGAAAAACCCTAGCACGACCATCCCATATAGAGCGGGATGATCTGTTACTAAGTTTTAAACTATGCCACTAAAACAAGGGAGATTCATCATGAACCCCATGGATGAAGCATTAGGTTTATTCAGTCGGGCTTTGGAAGGCGATAACTGATATTTTACACTGAGTTTCTGTGTGGGGCTTTCGTGCTGGCTTGGTCTGGTAGCTTTTAATGAAAAAGGTCTTTCAAAATGGTTATCAAGAAAACAAGAAAAAAGTCACAAATAACTTTATTCTTCATCTGCCCTACAGTCATTCATTGTGCAACTTGGTTTGCCACACTATTCCCTAGTGGAGATCAGAGAACAGCATCAGATGGAGCTGGTTTTGTGGTTTGGTCCTAAATATTTGGACTGAAAGTAAACATTATAAACTTCTGTGAGATGTGAAATAGTTTCTCCTATAAATAAATACCTATTTTGCTGCTCTATAATGTTTATGGAAAAAAAAAATTATTTAAAGGGTACTGAGCCAAAAAAATCAAAACATTAATCGAAAAAAATTCTCAATACACTCATTTAGCATAATCCTCTTTTTTTTTTTTAGTATGGTGACAATTCAATACAAAGCAATGTCATTTTTGATGATAAAAAGCACTTGTAAATGGTTACAGGCGAATCCACCTTCAGTGGACAACCGGCTAGAAATTATTCAGGAGATTCATGAGAAGGAAAGGTTAACTTTTTTGCTAAGATTGAGAAATTATTTATATAATACAAGATGGTCAAAATGGAACATGTGTATACTAGGAGAGGATTTGTGGCTGGTGTTTTGCGTCTGCACAGTTGCAGCTTAAAAATCCCATTCGCCTTCCTTTCATTGTTTTATTTTATTTTATTTTTCTTCAACATAAAAAGACTGATTATCCAAGTCGACTACGAGCTATGTAACATTTGTAATATGGGTACTAACAAGTTAATATGCTGGAAGTATATTGTTGCAATCACGTTGCTGCTCTGTACCACTGTTCTTTTGGGAAGAAAGATAAAGAATTTAAATATTAAAACAAAAACCCAAAACACCCTATGACCCCAGGTTCATCACAGAAGACGTGTCCAAGTAGCACCAGAAAGATGTTCTGAAACGTGTTCTCCAGCAATCTAGTATTGCAGGTACATGGGGATGAGGGATGTGTAAGATGGGGTTTAAAAAAGACTTGGTAAAAATCAGAACCAGTGGAGAGATATCCTGACTTTTAGTCCCTATAGTGGATATCTGGATTCTGCACAACACAGCACAGAAACCTCCTAAAAGTCACCAACGACCTGCTCCTCCCCTTGAAACCATCAACTTCACCATTTCTTCTCTTCGACCTTAAATCCTACCCCCCGGTACTGCCCTCTCCTGGCTGAAGTCACATCCTACGAACAGGAAACAGTCCGTCAATAACTGCACCCCCCTCCACCACTCCTCTGTCCCAAGGCGTCCCCCAGGGTTCAATGCTCGGTCCTCTCCTGTTCATTCTCATGCTGCTCTTTGGCAACACCCTCCCTCGTCACGGTCTCCTTTTCCATTAGCGATGTCCAATCTCTTCATATCCACCAAATCCACTGTAATTGGAACTCACGCCACTGCCTAAATGCAATTATATCATGGACGCGAGCGAATAACCCTGATGACATCATCAGGGTTATTTTTTCCAGACTTCAGAAAGCGCCTTCATATCCGCAGAAAACATCATAAAATTATTGAATTACTCATGATGAGTAAATTGAATTTGCGTCACCCCACTTTACAAATACATTTTGAATGGTAAAAGTAGCTTCAATATTCAGGTACCTTGGTTTTACTTTCTTTTAGTTATGATGGACAAGCTGCATCATTTAGGACACCACAAGACACTAAACGCTCTGCAATTAAAGTGTTTTATGTGGATTAGAAGCGACATGTTATTTGACACTATAATACAGTAGTAACTCCACGTCTAACGAACTGCACAACCTAAAGTAGGCAAATAAAAATCAGTAAAACACATACACAAGCTTACCATTCTCAGGCCTGGCCCCCAGTTTCTGAACAGCAGCCATGTTGTGGACACTGATGCCACGCGGATAGCCGGGCCATGAGGTCGGTGTGTCATCCACTACAATGATATGCTGCAGCCTTGGAACTTCAATTAGGATAGCCTGACACACACACACACACACACACACACGCACACACACACACACACACACGCACACACGCACGTACACACAAGAACATGGACATAAATGTAAGTGTTGTGTATACACTAACACAAGATGAAAACCAGGTTTCTTCTTTTGTCAAGTGACCATGAATCCCAGACACATCATCTTCATCAGTATTTGGTCTACGAGGGGATGTGTGAGAGTGAGCAGAGGAGCTGTGTTTATTCCACTTTGATAAAAGGAGGGATGAAATGCCAGAGCACCATTTGTCTTTGGGGATTGAATCTGTCCAAAACAGACCTTAACACATAGCACGTGCACGTCTCTTTATTTTTATATCTCTATGGTGACACACCGCTCCTCGCCTCCTCCTTAATCTGCTCTGCTCCAGTGTTTTGGATTCTCCCTGATGGATAACAGTGGCCTAAAAGCTGCTCACAGTCTGGAACCACTGACAGACTTTGGATCAGTGATGTAATGGAGATAAACCGTCTTTATCTTAGTTTACATTGCTTTTTATTTGCAGGGTAGAGTCTATCAACATTTATAGACCTGAGGTGAAGGAAACTTTTTGTTTATTGTGATCTATTTCATATTGGACTTCTTATATCAGTTTTGCACTTTTTCTATTGTTATTATTATTGACATTCAGCATCAATCAGATATTTCCATACAATATGTCTCAGATTTCAAACTGAATGTGTAAGACATACAGTATATTTGTGTTTGTCACAGATTTCAAGATACTTCTGAACAAAGCATACGAATAAAGAAAAGAAGTGAAAAAGAACAACTAAGGATAAGATACTTATCAGAATAGTGGTAAAGCCCAGAAGTGGACGGAGGTATGTTTTAAAATGTACTGCAACGGCTGTTTATGTTGTATATCTTCACTTTGTTCCAGGTACTGTCGAGTTGTATGTCTGACTTTGGCGTCTTTCTTTTGGGAGATTTGAGTTTTAAACACAAGGGAGAGAGAGAACGAGTATGTTTTTTCTCTTTCTGAAGGGGTGGTGGGTTATATATCATGTAATATGTTGCATAATAAGGCTGTTAAATGAAAACTGAATAAAGACATTATTCAAAGAAAAAGAAACATGAATGGTTGGGGTTTGATCTTTTCTCTATAACAAAATTATTGATTTGTGAAAATAAAATCAGGCCTGTATGGTGTTTAATGCTTAATAAGTTTTTCCCCCAGTATAAAACTACAGTATTTATTAACAAATAACCTTTTCTCTCAAACATCAAGGTCAAGTTAAAAAAACTTTTTGGCTCCATGGAGGGAGGGGTCCCTTAAAACTGTCCACACCAAGGGTTCTTTTTAGGTCAGAAACTATTTCTGCTGTTGACCTGTACAGCCCACTCAGATATGTGATGTTGGGCTACGCAGATATAGTAAATACCATCCATCACTTCCTGATACTGTTTACCTTATTTGCCTGCTACCACAGAACAACTGAACTAACCATGCACAGTTGCACATGGTGAATCTGAGGGAGGATAATACCAATAACAGTTTAACCAGATGACCCAGTGCAGCTGCTCTCTCTCTGTGGAGGCCAATGACTCTCAATAACAGTAATAAATTCCATATTTCCAATTATTAACAAGGTTATGGAGAATATTATTACATCTTCGGTATATGTTTGCGTAGGTTCTCACCTTGAGTCTGGTCTCCAGGAGCTCTCTGCTGGTGAAGATGTGGGTGACCTGAGTCTCATTCAGCCCATGAGCGATGGCTGGACCTCCCAGTGTGGAGTAAAGGGTGGCCACTGCAACACACACATCAAAACACTATCATCAAAAATGACTGAATATATAAATATTTAATCAGGTGACAAACATTTATTAAACATGGGGGTACATATCTATAAGGTAACCCAAAGAACAAATGACCACATTGAACTCACTTAATGAGAGGAAGAAGAAGAAGAAGAAGAAGAAGAAGAAGAAGAAGAAGAAGAAGAAGAAGAAGAAGAAGAAGAAGAATTAAAGGTTTTCTCTCTTAATGAGCTCAAACTTGTCAATGAAGGATCTTGTACCTGAGGTAAAAGCTGTATTGTCTTTATCCGTCAGTATCTGTCAAAATTTAAAGAAGCTTTTTTTATCAAACTTTGAATCTTGTTTGATAGTATTGTAATTCTGCTACAATACTCCAACTTTACAATTTTGAAATGGCAAACACGGCACTTACAGCAAATCAAACTTGACTAATGGACCCTAACCTTTTCCCGAAAACACTCATCAGTGGTTAGAAGTCATACTTCTTGGAATACACAGACTTCTTTTTTTCCTGTAGAATCTGGCTTGTTTTCGATAAAGACTTCAAATTTGCCTGCCTTGTTCCCAAAATGTCAGCCTGTGCCAAATTCAGTGGAAGTGTCACTAAACAAAGCCCTAACGGTAATATCATGGCCACAGCACAAGTGGTCAAGAAGGAAACCAACTGCTTCCAATGTAATACAGGCCCTTGACTGGAAGGCTTGGAGATGCTATCAGTAAATTGTCTGACTGAGAGTAAATGTATAAACAGTAAATAATACCTAAGTAAAAGGGCTCAGTTTTGTTGAGACTACTGCAAGAGCTGTTTGTGTGTTGAATCTATTTATGGCACATTTTGAACCTGTTGCTATTGATTGCTGACAGGTTCATAAAATGATCGGTCTATATTGCTCAGCATTTCTGGTTTGGCCCCTCCCAGAACGATGACATCACCAGGGAACCTCGAGAGGCCTCAGCCCTGCCTCGGAGCAGATGGGACGCAAGCTCTCACTGCCTGACGAGCACTCTTTTGGGGATATAAACAGTACTGGTATGTGAGGGGGCGTGTGTGTTACGACTAAGTGCATATGGCTGAATGGCCGCTGGTATGTGCACTCGCATACATGCGTCCACTTACGAGCCTCAGTCGTTAAAGCTATTATGAGTTTAATTCTTTTCTTTTTTTTAACTCAGATATTACCCTGTCAGTGTCTTCCTCATCTGACGACATGAGGACATGATACAGATATGTTACACCTCATTCCTCATTATCGATGTTTTCAATACCTGGCTTTGTGCTTAGAGGAACGTGTCATGTTGTCATGTTGAAACAGGAAAAGAGCCTTCCCAAAATTGTTTACTGTTGTCCAAAATATCACTAAATGCTGTAGTATTAAGATTTCTCAGAGCAAAAGAATACAAATCTATGCAGGGTTAGAGCAAACAGATATAGGCTTCCAATGCACAATCATAAGATAGCCGTATTTTTTAGTTTGCCAACTGATGAAATGCAGCTTATAAATCTAAGAATGAGGAGCAAGATAACAGTACAGATACTGCCCAGCGTCCCGCTGGTGATGAAAAACTAACATCAGCCTGTCTGACTGACTGAGCATTGACTTTTGCCACGTGTTGAAATTCATTAGATTTTCATTTTTCCCTGATGTTGCCTGTTTTGATTGCGCAATTACTGCAAAGCAAATGCACGATGAGATCAATCAGTGTAATCCGTTGAGCTGAATCGTGACGCATCACATATAATGATGGCCCGATCAATCGGCTCATTACTTAAAGACCCCCTGCAGACATGATTTCAAAGATTTAAAAATACCCTGCTTTGGATAATAATTTGTGTCTGATGTTTTTTTTCTCAAAAAGTTGAAAAGCTTTTATTATTTATAACTTTTCAAAAGTTTAACTGCTGGACACAAGATGTCTCCTACTTCACTGAAAAGTCTTTTCTCAATCTATGTGACACGAAAGCTTCGACTTTCCACATCACACACTTTCACACTGAGACATAATGGACGCCCAACTAGTTGTGATGTCACAAATCCTGCTTGTATATACAGCACATGTCTTGAACTCCGATTTAAGGTCGACACAGAGGAACTTTAAATGTTGAGCAGATGAATGTGCAAAAATTTGCAAATACATCATTCTGCACAACCAAGGAACAATAAGCAAAATACATTTTTGAGTTGAGAGGGAGTTTAAATACATGGTTCGCTTTGTGAATTCTGCTTGTGCGTATGTGTTCTCGTTTTACTTAGGTTTTGGCTCGGGTTGTGGTTAGGCATGTATTTGTAATGGTTAAGGGTAGGATTAGGGGCTGGGGAATGCATTATGTCACACAATGTTTGTGTGTGTGTGTGTGTGTGTGTGTGTGTGTGTGTGTGTGTGTGTGTGTGCGCGCGCGTATGTTTGCACGCGCACGTTAATGGTTGCAGTGTACAACTTGTAAATCGCAGGACCCAGCTGAGACAGAAGAAGGTCAATTTGTCCCCTCTGTCTTCTGCTGTTACATAAGTGTCCCATTTCTCCTCATTCACTCACTTTTTTTTTTCTTTCATTTTGTTGTGATGGAAGCACGCTCGTGTATACGGTACATTTTTATTTTACATATGTGCAGCGCCGCCTCTTACACATTGGTCGGCTTTCTTTTAGAATATGAGGCTTTCAGCTTGTATCACGGCGACCGTCATTTATCTGATGTTACAAACTAAGTGTAAAGGGCTGTAACCTGTCAGCCCCTAATAGTTTTTGGTTTCTTCAGGTTAACATTAACACAAGGCTTATATTAAGAATTGTGGTATTAAATTTTTTTTTATGTAAAACGTTCCCCTGGACAAAAAGACCCTGTTCATGTTTTTCATGTTTGTGATGTTAATGTTGAAGGATCTGTCGGCAGCCGCTGCCCCGAGGGAATCTATGCTGATTTACTCTTTAATATGTTCTGTTCCTGTCTCTACTGCGAGCACCCACAGCGGTACTTTTAAGTTCATTAAATCTCTTTGATTGTCCTTGAAGGACCCTTCATTTTCTCTGTGTGCTTTAGTTTATGATCCATTAAACTGTCATTGCTTTGAAAATACGTAGCAAGCACAAGCCAGTAAAGCATCTTTCTTTAGGGGGGGGGCAGAGAGGAGTTAAAAGTTGGAGAGAGTGATGGAGGAAGAGACAGAGGGGAAGAGTGAGAGGGAGAGGAGTGAGGGGTGATGGCGTCAGAGGAGGGGTGAGAGAGTCTACGTGAGCATCTGATGTTGACAGAGGCATTAGGGAGTCAGCCAAAGGCCCCCACTGAACTCGGACACTTGGTGTGTGTGTGTGTGTGTGTGTGTGTGTGTGTGTGTGTGTGTGTGTGTGTGTGTGTGTGTTTCTGTTTGCATGTGTGGACATTGTATATTCACTGTATATTGGCTCGCTGTCAAAAGGCAAATGTGCTTATCATTTGTTGTCATTGTAAGTTTTTTTTATTTTTTTATTTGCACTTGTCACCATATGTGGGTAAAATAAACGGCAGCAGTTACATCCTCTAAATAATTCTGTTGTCATATGAAAACCTCACAATTCTAGTTTCGCCTGCATTTTTATATCTTAACGTCAGTCAAAGGATGACATGTTCCGACATGGGACCGTTTCAGGATCTCATTTGTCGAACTGAAAAATGCAGAGTGACACAAGGCGGAATACCTCACAAATTCTTCTGTTGCACGTTTGTGGAAGTTTTCTGTATTAAAATGTGTGTGTCTGTGTGTGTGTGTGTCTGTGTGTGTGTGTGTGTGTAGCTGGAGCCCAATCTGTGTTTTTAGATCTCACGGCTGGAGGTGTCATGGCCCTCGTTCACACACACTCACACAGCAGCAGAACAGGAAGTATTGGAGAGCCCATGACGCAAAAAGGAGATGTCACTAAGCCCTGTCCCATAAACTCCTAGTGTCTGTATCAGTGTAGGGATGCAGGGTTATAGACTGTTACTCTGTGTTTTCTCTCTCTCTCTCTCTCTCTTTGATGTTTCCTCTGTCACATTTTCTCTCCTTCTCTTTCACTTTCATCCTTTATCTATTCCTCTGTCCATTTTTTTTCTCATATGAAAGGGAGCTGACCTGAAGCTAGTTTACTTCTGGTGCTCTGATCTTTTGACAACCACACACACACACACACACACACAACCACACCACACACAACACACACACACACACAACACACACACACACACACACACACACACACACACACACACACACACACACACACACAGTTATAAATCAGCCTTATTCAGACACACTTTGGAAGATGCTCAGTGGAAAAACTAACTGAAACTATGATTACTTCTTTGCTGTTGCCACTGATGCAAATGAACAGTGAAATCTGGATGTATTTGCCACTGTCTCATCTGTCTCCACAGGCTCCCGTTGTTTTGAAAATTAGACATTTCGTGCATTAAATCCAATTAGAAAAAATTTCGTCATCCTTCAAATATCAAAAGCCTCGCAGGTATTGCAGGAAACATTGTGTGTTTGTGTGTATGTGTGTACTTGTGTGTGCATTTAAGCAGATCCTTATCCTTATTTCACTGTTTCATCAGACTTTTGCATGCGACAAGAAAACATAACTTTCATTTAGTGTTGAAGCAATTAGTTGATTAATCATTATGTGGATCAACAGAAAATGTATCATTATCTATTCTGATGACAGATTACTTGTTTAAGACGTCTATTTATAGCTACCAGGTTATCAGCAGCTTCAGAAGACAGATTAACTAAAAGAGTTCAAATCTGTGCCGTTTCACCAACTGAAAAACTATTTGATATTTAATGGAGAAAAGTATCAACGGTCATAACAACATTTGCCAAACACACACTAACACTGGCAAAGCAAAAAGTGGTTGACACAGGGATATAACTTGTATATATAACTTGTACTTGTATGACCTCTCTTTTCCTTAATGGTTATAGGGGTGATGTAGTAACTTTTAGATTTTAATGAGGTGTTTACATTATTTGCTCACAGTTCTCTGTGTATTTCTGTGCCTCCATACTCACGCCGGACTTACATGGGAAGTTGTACATGAAGCAGGCCTGGGCAGCTATGATCCACTCGGCTCGCGTCTCGCAGAAGATGGCGATGTTGTGTTTCGGCTGCTGACCCAGCGATGCCAGACCACTGCCCAGCTGGGACGCCGCTGTGAGGACCTCGTCATAGGAGCGCCAGCAGTACTCACCCAGAACTACCTGCAGCAGGGGGAGGGTGGGAGTTTGTCAGTGATGGAGGGGGGGATAAAAAGGTACAGAAGATAAAAGAAGGTAGGAAGGACACAAGCTCCAAGTATCAATACAATTAAAAGCCCAGTATTTGTTAAATGCGGCACTATTGTGAAACAGAACTACTTCCTCTTGTGGAGAAGATAAACACAGGCTTCTGGATATACTCTCCCACACTCATACACCAATGAGTGTCATTAAAACCCACAGACACAGGACGGAGCATCAGTGAGGTTATACTGACTCCTACTGGTCCATAAGTGGTAGTGCACACACACAGTAATGATGACTGCACAGTGGTTTTCCACCTGCTGGAAACAATAGATAGGAGCTAAACGGCTAAGACGTGTTCTCTTGCAGCAATCAGTGTTTCAACAGTGGGTTTAAATGGATTAGAGGGGGATTATTGTGGGTTGGTCAGGGGTAATTTACGCTGTTGGCCAACTCCTGACTGTGCAAGCACCGTATGTACTACAAAAACACACAACCACCCTCCCTTAAAGTGTTTTACTTGGGCAAAGTTCACGCTGAATGATGAAGGAAAGAATCCAGGTGTGTGTATGAAATGATCAAAAAGCAAAACTCGACCACATCATGGGAGCAAAACATGCTAGTTAGCATCAAACTCTTACTCTTTTCTTTTTCTTTTTTTTTAATACTCCCACTCCTTTTTTGAACAAAGTCTGGACACACTTTTGAACAAATACCAAGTCCTCCTCCCTGTTTCCATCTTCCGCTCCACGTTCATACTTGGCTCTCTTCTCTCTGTGTCCTCTCTGAACATTTGTAAGGTCAATGGAATTTAAGGGCGTCTAGAAGAACTAACAAGCTGTCAGTGTATAGATTAACGATGATTGTGACCATTTCACTGAAAGGAGAGGTTTTGCAGATTAGACAGTGGGTGAAGAGAAAGTCACAGGGGAATATTTGAAGTAGGAGATAATGCATTTATAAACGTCGTCAGCTTGCTGGTTAAAATGAGGAATGCTGACAATTTGTACAATTTCATTTTTGATTTTCCACACAATGTCACAAATGTCTGGTGCAGAAAAAAAAATCTGTCCTGAATTACTTTTTCCGTCTTGATCCCGTCCGTTCAATCCACAGTTTTTTTTTTTTCCTCTATCCTCTGTGAAGTTTCTCTAAAGTCACTGACAACACTGTCCGTACATTCTTGATTTTGATTTTGGCACTAATAAAAATATATACTGTCACCAGTGTTGTCCTTCAAGGCCCATTAGAGACACATGGGAAGATTTTTATTGCTAGAAACTCAGTACTGTCTGTATGTGGGAAATACTGACGGTGAGAAAACCCCATGTTAGAATAGTCACTCTTATACTAATCTAATTCGCCCAATTGCAAGTGAATGAAAAGGTAATGAAATTAAAGTCCTTACTCTGCCGGGTATTTCTTGAACCAACTGAACTTGGAGAAACACTGCCATAATCTATCTACCAAAGTTACGTTAAATGTGATTCTACCTCTTTCCTCTTTATGCTAAGCTAATTTTTCTACTGGCTGTTGGCTGTGGCTTTTCATTTAAGGAACAGATGTGAAAGTGAGATTGCTTTTCTTCACTCTTCAATCTAAATTAACATAAATGTTGAACTATTCCTAGTACCTCTAATGTTGTGTTTAGTGCTCATTTTTTCCACTACAGTTATTTCTATTTGATTCCTTCCATTCCTGTTTGCTATAAACACACTTTCCCCATTGATTTTTACCTTCTTAAACACCTTCCCATTGCTCTGCTGCTCGTCCTCCTCACTGATCACCTCCCTCGTGCCGAGACAGTCTCTTTCCGGGAACTTCGTGGCCGCGTATTCAAACATCTTATCCAGGGTGTCCACTCCCGGGCGCAGCGACGTCACCAGCCTCTTGATGGCACTCACCGCTCTGTAGGGCCCCTCGGGACATCCCAGCACAGAGCGGGCCTTCGCCCTCTTGGCTCGCTCCTCCTCTGAGCCGCAGACGCCCCCGACCGGCACTGACGCCCAGCTGAAGAGGTGGTAAGGCAGGAAGGTGACGCAGGTGTAGATCCACACCACAAGGTGAAAGAGGAGCAGCAGCAAGGGGTTCAGGTCCTCCTTCAGCTTCATCTTGGTGAAGCTGTGACGGCGACTGAGAGCAGAGAGAAGAAGAGTCACAGGGAGGACGAGCTGTGAGAGAAAGTTCCTACTCCTGCTGTTGCAATCTGTCCACTTCTCTTTCTCCTTCTTGCTTTTATAGAGCTTGTCTCATCCTCTGTGGCAATAAAGTGTCCACTGGACCAACACTGCCCCTGGAAAATAAACGACATTAACCTGGCATTAGAGCAACAACTGACATGCAATTTCTTTTTATTATTAAACAAGTTTCAAAATTTGGTTATTCCCATACTCATTAAGATCCTGAGCTTCAATGAAGCCTTAAAGTACAAGGCTCTCAACTCATTCTGAAACTGAAACCAATCAATGAATCACATGTGCTCCAGCACTCACAAAAAGCAGAATTGAAATTTTTGTTATTGGAAAACCATAGTGTGACAAGAACACTGGCCCTGTGCTGCATGTTCCTTCCCCTCCCTGCAACTCCTGCATCCACAGTATGAAAAAACTGCCAGTGTCACTTATTGTTAGTGTCAAAGAAACAAAAAAAAAGAAAGAAAGAAGAAAGGAAGTACAAAAAAATAGACAGGATAAAAGAAAGAGAAGGAGACAGAGGAGAAACTGAAAAGATGAAATGGAAAAAAGACCGTCTCTAACAGATGTAAATGACAGTAAGTGGGAGAGGGTGTATAAGAGGTTACTGGATGAACATATGTGTATGAGTGTGTGTGTGTGTGTGTGTGTGTGTGTGTGTGTGTGTGTGTGTGTGTGTGTGTGTGTGTGTGTGTGTGTGTGACAGGCTACAAGCCAGGAGACAGAGGGATACAGCCAAAGAGAGGAACAGATAAGTACACAGAAGGAACAAGCTGCAGCTCAAGTAGTGGATCCACCAGCCACACTGTCCCCATTCAACTCATTTCATAATGTTTCATAATGTCGGTAATTCTTATAAATGTGGTTTATTTCCAGCTTTAGGAGAGTGTGTCATCCCATTAGAGGTACTGTAAATTATTACTGTTTATTATGATATTATTGTTTGGTTGAGCACAACTGCATTTCACAGCGTTATCATGACAACGCCCGCTAGATATTACATGATTTCTGGGTAGAAGTCTAAGGTCCTTAAATTGCCATTTGAGGCCACCAGTGTCAGGAAAAAGCCTAATGCATATTGACGTTTCAATTCAGTCCCATCAACTGGTTTTTGTAATTTTGCAGCTAAAAAAAAAAACAAAAAACATGGTGCGAGGACACACGCACACACACACACACACGCTCCAAACAATCTATTTTAGCAACAGTAATTCATTATTCACATGAGGGAGAGGCTCATCTTGCTCCCCGAAGCACCACATCCTTCCCCTCCCAAAACGGCCAAGCTGACACACACTGTGCCCACCTCTCTCCCAGATACATTCATCCCTCAAGTGTCCCTTTGAGACTCATAAATAAATCAAAGATTTTACCAGCAGTTCCCTCCTAGACTAGCATCTGTTCCCTGTGGGATGTGGACGGCGCTGTCGTTCTGCCCCGGTGTTTTGTTACCCAGCCAGGACGCCTTGCTTCATCACGGCTTACCAAAACTGCACCCCGGTGGAACAGGATGCTATCATCCAGTGTTTGCTTGTTGGTTTCACTGTCTCTTGTTATACATATTTATGCGCAAAAAAGTCAAGGTCGATGAAATAGAGGCCACAGAGGAGAAGTGGGTTCAACTCGGATAAACAAACTATCAGACTAGAGGAGAAGAATCCACAGAGCAGGCTGCTGGCAGACCTCAACTTCTTCCACCACTGTTTTGTCACAAGACTTTTAGGCCTGGTGCAAAATAAGAATTGGCTTGAACAGCTTTAAATACACCAACCATTAAAATTTCCACCATTTTTTGAAAACAAAAAAAAAAAAAAAAAAAAAAAAAAAAATACCTGACCTAGTTAAAAATAATTAAATAAAGACGTTTTCTTGACTAATAGCTCTAAGACAGAGATTCTCCCTCCCTTACTGGTAAACACCCACATCTTCCAAACTCCACACTTGGAATGACAAGACTATACGTTCTATACGTTTTTCTGTATGCAAGTATAATGACGATAAGTTCAACTGAATTGAACCGATACCTGAACTTATGTGTAGCTGTACTAACCCTGTAAGGACACGATTTGATTGCTGTCATTGTTGTAACGACACGGCCCCCGTTAAACCCTTTGTAACACATGAACAAATAGATGAATGCCGTATAATCTTTCTTCAATTATCTAATTTGACTGTCAATCATTAAAATAAATAATTAAATGTAGGAATAAATAACAATTCCTACACTAGTTGTCCTAACAGTAGTGCCACCCCTCAAAATTAAAGCCCTGCATACTGTACACGTTGATGTAATATGAGACATTTTGCTAACAGCTAACGTTACACTACTTAGCAGAAATCAGTTATTTTCTTCGCTGCTGTAAAACAGTAGTTACCATCGGTTGCACAGTGCAACTTCCCCAAGAAAACTGCTGTTTTATCTCGATGTGGAAATATAAAGTTTATTAATAAATTATATGGTATCAGATGGGTGTATAATACTGTATTTTCAGCAGTATCGGAGGCATTTCTGACACTAGTATCGATACCAGAACAACTCTAATTGAACGTTCTGATTATTTTTATTATCTATGTATTTTTTGTCTATAAAATGACAGAAAATAACAAATTATGCCAATCACAATATGCCATTACACAAGCTGATGTCATTAGATCGTTTGCTTTGGCCGACCAACATTCACAAAACAAAAGACATTAAATTCACATGCAACAAATTCTCACACCAGAGGACCAGGGAATTTTTGGAATAGCTGCCTCTTGAACTATTGTTAAAATTGTTGTTGATTAATTCGCTATTAAATATTGAACTGATAATAGGACATAACAGTGGGCAGGGCTATTGTGTGCAGTGCCAGGTACCACTAGTCAGATTACACAAAGGCAGAGAGATAAGGAGACCACAGAAGGGAGGAGCCTGGAACTTGTTAGAGTTGTGAGGGAATGTCTACTGAACTTTGCATAAAAGGTATTTATGCATGAATGCAGACACAAATCCACCTGAAACCAAACCGCTTTGCTATAAACATGCAGTAGAATATCTGTCATATTTCATATGCATCACTTCCTGTAATGATTAGCCATTTACCCACAAGAACAAAACAAGTCCAACCAAGACAAGCAAGCTGTGAAAACCACACACACACACACACACACACACAACATTGATTTGTTTCAGTGAAAAGGTTGAGACCTTAATTTGCACCACAGCAGCACACAAGCAAGCTCGACTCTAATCTCTTACCTTAAACACCGTGAAACAGTTAGCCACACTGCGCAAACTAGTAGTTGCTTAATGGGTGGCTTTATGCAACAAGCAGGCGCTTTGCAGGCAGCCTCCACTCACTGGATTAACTGAGTAATATTGTGGCATGGTCTACGTAGCAGTGGGGTGAGCAGGCATGTGTGTGTGTGTGTGTGTGTGTGTGTGTGTGTGTGTGTGTGTGTGTGTCTGTGTCTGTGTCTGTGTGTGTCTGTGTGTCTGTGTGTGTATGAGGGAATCATTGCTTCCTCAAGAGATTGTGTGAATGGGGTCTTTTGTGTGCCGACGTCATCGTGCCTTCACCCACTCAGCTAAGCAGGCAGGCTGAAGTCTTGCAGAAACTTCAACACGGCCATTGTGGCGAAACGACGCACCAGCACACGCTCCGGTCCCAAGGGGTCAGACTGCGTGTGCGCTTGTGTGAGAGGAGAAAGAGGAGGTGCGTGTGTGTGGTGTGTTTGTACGTGTGGGTTGGGGCGTGTGGGTGCTGAGCAATTTTGCACACATGAGCTGTATTTGCCCATTTCAAATAATGACATAATCAAAAGCTTGCAAAACAACTGAAGAGTTTTAAGTGTAAGCATGAAAGCACAAAACACAATTGGTTGGATTATGTGGATCAGACCGCTGCTTTTCTCTGTTTTTGTGTGTACATGGCAACATAAACTACTGTCACACATGCCAGTCACCAGCCTGTTCCTCTTTCTACTGTAAGCTCTCTTAATGCCTCTGATTTGAATCTAAAATTGTTGCTACAGCAGCTATAAACCCTTCATTTGCATCCGATTTAATTGCCACAGGTGGGATGAGAAAAACAAACTCCTTCCTCACACAGCAGACTGAGATATTAAAAGTATTCACTTCAGATATATTATATAACACCATGATAATTTAGACTTGCTCCAACCTCTGAGAAATATGACTTCCAGGAAGAAGGACTGTGTTTCTGTGTGTTCTCCAAGCACATTGTACTATCTATGATGGACCTGTATCATTTGATAATCATTGCCATGGGCCGGTTCACTTCAGCTGTGTAAATAGTGGTGAGCAGCTTGAGGTTGTAAAAGTTACAAAAGATTGGACACAGATTTTCTGTCCTGGCCTTTAATTAAAATGCTTGCTGTTATAAAATATGTCCTATTTGTCTGCATTTTATAATTGTTTAAATGTGTTTAGCATAAGAAATATAAAAGAAAGGTCAGCTGATAAACTAATAAGTAGTAAAAATTCACTGCCATGTAAAGAAATTTATAAATTAAAGTCCAGAAACACTGAAACACAATGAATTTTTGGCATAATAAAGCTTTACAATCAGAAAAAAGACACATAACATATTATGGACCTTAGATGTCATTATAAGTACAGTGGTCTCAGCAGTGAGCCACAGATGTTCAAAGTGCAACATCCAAGTGCGCTAACTCATCAAACAAGCCGCAATGGCAACATAACTTCCGGTTGAGAATTTCGAAATAAAACGCTTAAATTGTTTTGATCACTAAATATAATTTCATCAGTATTGACAACAAAACATTGTTTAAGACACTGGCCACGGAATGTAATTACTGAATTTCGTCCAAGTACGAGTCTGTCTACAGAAAGTAACCCTAGTAACTAACAGTCCAATTGTCACTTTAAACATAATTTCACTCGAACAGCGTTTACATTCGTACCCAGTGTTTTCAGCTGAGAGTAAAGAATATGAATTACATTGCGCTTTTCATTTTTTATGTACGTTTTCTACACTTTAATGATAAGCTGATAACATTTTAGCTAGCAGGTAACTGTTGCCGAGTTCATAACATTAAGTTAGCTAGCAAGCACTCAGCAACATGGCAGCCAAAAAAAGTCTCTTAATGTTTTAATTTTTAGAGGAATTAACGGCGTCACTTCTAGACTAGTCTCTGTGTGTGTTCGGTAGCTTGACGTCGCAGCATCCCGCACATCTGGGTATAAACGCGCATCACAAAACGGCACCTGAACGACGTGAAAACTTACCGGTGAATGTTCCCGCTCCGGAAGTGTCAGTTTATCCCGGTTACAGCAGCGGGAGAGCCGGTTTTCAACCCTTCACCGTGTTCAAGCTCCGTGTGAGGCAAGCTTTCTACATGAATTCATCCATCAGCTCTTAATTTGTCCGTCGATAACGCGCTCTCTCATCTGAGCCCGGAAGTGATTTAGGAAGGGAGGGGGGGAGGAGGGGGGGGGTTGTCATTCCCTGCGTTATGATTGGACTCGTGGAGGTGGCGCGTGCTAGGGGCCGGGCCAGATGGAAGGAGGGCTCGAGGTGACTGCATGGGTTACTGACGGTCACAAGGAGCTAGAGGCCACACGCACGCACACAACCACACGCGCACACCGCACGGGGATTGTCAGTTGTATCCGGTTAAAAAAGAGGATTTAAAAAAAAAAAAAAAAAAAGGAAACACTAATGTTAAAACAATGTCATAATGTGATGCTCCTGGTCCACATGTTACAGCTCTTTTAAAAAGTTATAACAATTTATAAATAATTACTTCAGTTATTAGTTTGTTTACAGACTCTGGTCCACATACATGCACATGCACAGTTGGGATACATAAAAAAAAATAAAAAAAACCATCACATCTGCTTTAATGCAGATGTCCATGACACCAAGGACCTTTGTAAAATGCAGGGAGTGGTCTTGGGCAATGTTAGGATGTGAAGTGGAAACTCAATGATTGCAAATTCTGGGCATACAATACTGATGCATAAAGATAATTATTTTATGGATTATGTAAACATATTATATTAGGCAATATCCATCATGCATTATGAATATAATATATGATATAATGTTGACTGCTGTGGAGCTATGAAAGTGTGAGTACCAGTGGCAGTGTGATGACTCACTCTGCAGTGTCATGCAGTGGCAGTGTGATATATTACAGAAAGACTGGCAGATGGCAGATTCACAGACAGACTAATTATTGGAAAAATGAAACGGTGAAATGAGGCTTGCTGCCCACTGTCTCCTCTGTCTCATGTGATTCATAAGAACACTGTGAACCATTCCCACCACTCCATCATCTGATTTATAGTTGGGGATTACGGTGGATTCATCATTTCGTGATTGGAATGTGTCTGTAATCAGTTTTAACCACTAAGAAGTCAGCTGATTCAAAGCACATTATTTCAAATTAAAAGACATATTTTAATTTGACTGAAAACGTTTTGATGACAACACAAATATTAGATGTCTGATTCTTCTTTAAACTATTATCTTCATGGAATAAATCTTGATTGTCCTGTTTTCTTTAATGCAGTTCCTTGTATTCAGATGTCATGTCTTACACACTGTGCTAAAATCTGTTCTCATGGAGATCTTTGCTGCTATTCATAAAGGCTTGTAATTGTGAATAACTCCCTGGATCCTGTCTGCATCATTATTTGAACCACATTGAGTCTTTCTTACCCTCTTTGTTATTTTCATACAATTCTGTGTCTATGTACATGACCATCGTCTTTTCCTCATCTAAATCCTTGAAAATGTGGTCTCTATGGTCTCTAGGCAACTTTTAGACATGCTGATAATAGCAATACATTTGATGATTTCCAATCTGGCTTTCACCAGAAACACTGAGACTGTTGTCCATAAGCTCGTAAATAATATTTAAATGCATGTTGATTTTTTTTGATGTTCAACTATTTTTTTCATCAGTTGCTGCTGTTCTTTCAGTATATTTATGTTTATCATGTCAATCATGACAGCTCAATTGAACTGAACAGTTTAAGTGATATGATGTCCTATAAATAGTTATTATAAGTATGAGACCTGTAAGTAGGTTTTAAATGTTCAAGACAAAGTGTTGCAAATTGTTTGTATCTCTTCATTACATTTTTCAAATTTTGAATTTTTAAGATTTGTTGCATCTCTGGAGCACCCTTTGTAATTTATTGTTTTTAAATGTATTGTGTTAATTAATTACGCTTTGTGTGCTCTTTGAAAGAATCAGTAGTAATTATCTTAAAAGATCTATAGTGATTATTTGAAATTGTATTAATTTATTTAGACTTTATTGTACGATGGAATTGATAGCATTAGTCACAATGGATGATATTGTAATCAGAAATGATTTATGGACAGTAACTGCTTTTCAATCAGGCACCGGCTAGACAGCTACAACCGGCTACTGAGGTCCTTTCGCGCTGGGCTGAGGAGGATAAGCTGCCAACATGCCGACTGTCGGAGTAAAAAGGGATCTTCTCTTCAAAGCTTTGGGCAGAACGTACAGTAAGACACATTTACTACATTTTCAAGCAGTGGACACAATTATCTGTCTGTTTATCAAACGTCTCTTTGGCTCTTAAAGACAGAGAAAGTCGGAGGACTGTCTGAACTCATTGCCGGATGGTTAGCATTGCAGCAGCTGCTAACCAACGGCTAATTTTACTGCATCTGTGTTGAATGAAAAAACAAAGTTAAATGACAACTTGTCCCAAATACTAATACAATATGTAATAACAACTTATTTCTGCTGGGTTTTGTGCTGAGAAAACTATAGTGACATCTTTGAACTGGATGTCAACGTGATTGCATCATTTCCCCCACGATTCATGTCATTTAAATCTGAACTGGGCTCTGTTCAAGAGCAGCAGCAGCAACAGTGGGTTCTCGATGGTGTATAAAGCTGTTTTTAAATAATGGATATTTGCTTCTTGTTTTAGCTGATGAGGAGTTTGACGAGCTGTGCTTTGAATTTGGGCTGGAGCTGGATGAAATTGTGAGTAAATGAAATTATCCCATAGTGTGTTTCCTAATAAGTGATTATAGTAAACCATTCACATGGTTTACATTTTGAATAGCAGGATAAGAATGCAGTTACACTTGTTACGCCCTGTGTTGTTGTTTGTCCTGTCCTGTTCTTCGGTATTTGTTTCTGAACTATGACATGTAGAAATCACTCTGCTCTGCATTCATGACAGACCTCAGAGAAGGAGATAATCAGCCGTGAGCAGGGTGACACCAAGGCATCAGGAGCATCTGACATCATCCTGTACAAGATCGATGTACCAGCTAACCGCTATGACCTGCTGTGTCTGGAGGGGCTGGTCCGTGGACTGCAGGTCTTCAAGAATAGGTGAGTAGATGGCGCTCTCTGTTATGTTCTCTGTTGCCTCTGGCCGTCAGTAACATCAGCAAAAACCCAGATGTCAAATGGGGAAACATTTTGGTCAACATAGGTCTTCTACACCAGCTCCGGTTCACAATAATCATCTATTTGAACCATCTTGCCTTGTCCCAATATTCCTTGTTTGGTCTGAGAGAGGCATTTCCTGTATCGGTGACCTCTTGCAATAATAATTTTTTCTAGTCTGCAACACTATCTTTGAAATTGTCCTGCCTGATAGGCATTTTTTTCAGATCAGGCACTTCCCCACTTCCCCCAGTCGCCCTCCAGACTCTAGAATTGACATCCTTTTGAATTTTGATCTCGATCAAAGACTAACTTAATTTATTTATAATTTGATATGCTCTTTAAATCCTGATGTCTCTGCAAATTGTAAAAGTTCATGGGAGGACAACTTGGGAAGGGGATTATCTGATGACAAATGGGCACACATTTTAAAAATCCTCCACCAGGCTCATTATACAAATGCTTGATTAGCCAAAATATTCCCAGACGTAAGTGACGCCTGCTGCAGATGTAAACAATCGCCTGCCAATCTTATCCACATGCTGTGGGTCTGGCCCAGGTTATTTGAAACCTATCAAAATATAATTCACATTCCAGTAGTTCCTAACACCCTGACAGCTATATTTGGAGTACCACTAAAGTACCATATTTCCATAACAATGCAGAGGGTCATTGACTTCACTACACTCTCAGCCAGACGTCTTATTCTCCTCAAATGGAAATACGCTTCTCCTCCCGGCCATAGCAGATGGATCACGGAGGTCGTGCACTGCATTAAACCTGAGAAGATAAGGTTCTCTTTAAAAGGCTCTCTAAAAAGTGTTAGCGAAAGCTGGGCACTCTTTTTAGACTACATAGACACAATGTTTTGCCTGATGACATTGCGAAGCAATAGTTTTTTGTTATGCTTTTTTATTTATTTATTCATTCATTCATTTATTTATTTATGTACTTATTTATTTCATGCCTTTTTATGTTCGTATGCTCTTTGGTTTGTTTTTTTATTTTCTTCTTGCAAGGTGTAGTTGATGCGGAGGTTTGACTGAGATTGATAATAAAAATATACAACCTGTCTATGTGTGACAGTAGCGGTATATTTCTGTTTGCACGATTATAAGAAGAATATGTAAGTGTAAGTGAACAGTGTTGTGCTTGATAGAATCGATAATACAGCCTAATATGGACAAAACTCCTGCTGTTTTTGTTACTATTTAAGAGTGTCAGCGTGATTGTAAAATGCATGCCAAGGCTAGTTGGTAATATTACGTGCTGACATAATTCAGGAGCATGACAACGTAATTCAAGGCCCTTTTCCAAATGAAGGAAGCTGGTTATGTTTAGGTATAAAATGTAGGACTGTGTTTTGGTGTCCCAGAAAACATTCTTGTGGATGAAGACATGTTTTGGCTGTGTCAGACTTCCTTGAATATGCTGTGTTTTTCCATCGTGGGTGTAGTGCCTGCAGATGTGCTTCACTGTTGCTACAGAGATTGTATTTGTGTTTCAGGCTGGAGGCGCCTCGCTACAGACGTGTCAGCCCAGTCAGCGGGGAGCCTCAGAAGCTGATCATCACTAAGGAGGTGGGTGGAATCATTCAGTGATTCAGTTTTTAATGGCAAACACATCGTTTGTGGCCTGAGGCTAACATTGCATCGGTTTGCTGATAAATAAAGGTGTGTTTTTACTGTGGTGATCAGTTAATCAGTTTGTGTTTTTCTGTGCAGACTGCAGCAGTGCGACCCTTTGCAGTGGCAGCAGTGCTGAGGAACATCACCTTCACACAGGAGCGCTACGACAGCTTCATTGAGCTGCAGGAGAAACTCCACCAAAACATCTGCAGGTCAGACCGGATGAAACACTAAGTACAACAGCATACCTGGAATACCTTCTGCCACCTGCTGCCAAGCAATGTCTTTCAAAGTAAACACAGGAAATGTGGTTACTTTCACTTCACACACAATGAAAACATTCATCACAG